ATGAAGTTCCTTTGTATTAGAGGCCCTGCTGACCCACTCCTATTTAAGTTTAGAAGGTTTGTGTAGAAGGAATGAAATCCGGAAGAATTAAGTTGCACTAGTTGGGTACCTGTAGAATTCTAAGGGTGTTATTATTATGACTGCCAAATATTTTAAAAGACAAATTATGTACGGCTACATTGTTCCCTTTGAATATTCTCTACAGATATTACCACCATCTTTTGACAGCTTTGACAATTGCCAGCTTTTCTTGGCTCAAATTTCATGTTTTACTTGTATTTCTGTCCATCAAGTTCTGAGATTTTCACAGTTCTGCCACACAACACGGCCAGGTGGATCACACTGCAAAGTGTTTGTAAACCGGATACCTGTTTTTCAGTACGTGGCACCGTGCTTCACTGCACACAATATTTTTCAGCAAATTGTTTTTCTTGAATTTGTGGCAAAGTTTCTATACTCAGAGATCCTGCCAATAACAGCATTTTTTTTTGCAGGCTGACAACAGTAAGTTTATGGCTCACCATTAGAAGCAGCGTTGTCAGGCTCAGCACGGATGTCAAACTGGCGGCCCTCCAGCTGTTGCCAAACTACAAGTCCCATGAGGCATTGTAAGATTGACAGTTACAAGCATAACTCCCAAAGGCAGAGGAATGATGGGACTTGTAGTTTCGCAACAGCTGGAGGGCCGCCAGTTTGACACCCCTGAGCTAGAGCAAGGGGAAAGCTTATTGGTGCTCCTCCAAGCTGGAAAGAGGGAGCAGTGTTCCAGGGCAGTTCCAGTAATTCTTGTATAGTAAAGGGATGGATGCCGATCAGGACCAACTCTGAGCTGGAGCGGTGGTTAAGGCCATCCTGTATGTCTGACCCCCGGGGTTGGTCTTGAGTGATGTCCATCCCTTTACCATACCAGCGTTGTCAGCATGCTGTATGTGAGCTCCTTCAGTTGACTTTAGGACTGCTTATCTGATCAACCTGATAGGAACCCCAATTGCCAACTGGGACCACACATGGCAGGCTGACCATGTTGCTGCAAATTGTGAGGCACTGGCTTAGCATTTTAAGCCTACAATAGGGAATACTGTTACTGGCAGGATCTCCAGGTATGAAACTTTTCAAAATGATTCACAAAAAAGTTTTTCTTTAGAAAGCAAAGTAAACTACATATACAGTATTGTGATATTTTGGGGTTCCAGATCACCAGCCAGCTGACTTTGTAAAAGCAAACAGTCTTTTATTTTTCAAAACAGGCAAAACAAAAATGGCTTTTCTTCTTCATACCCTCTTTGTGTTCTAGTATGACACAAAGATATGGCTCACCCCCAGCATAAACCTGTCCCACCACAGCGTTTAAAGTTCCCGCCTGCTTCAGGGGTCAGGAAAGAGATCACAGGAGCAACAACAGTGTCTTGATAAACAGCCCATAGTCCTTACACAACTGTGTACTGTTACACACCACTCCTCGTGGACAACTGCTGGCTGCATCCTGCCCTTTTCAGCGCTCGCAGGTATGTTAACCCTTTCAGGACTTCAGCACCTGTAGTCAGGTTTGGACATTCTTTTCCAATCAAGATCTCTCCAAGCCTCCAAATGCCAGGGGCCATATGAGGACTTAATAATCCTGGGGAAAAAGTCAGTTTTTTCCCCTTTTCCGGATCACCCTAGAACCCCTCACTGTGCATGGGTGAGAATCCTGAGTACTCCAACAATCTCTTGTCATTCCCGTTTTAAGGAACCACACCCCAGACAATAGAGATACATATCTCCAATCCAGGACCCATCCCTGGCATCTTGTACAATATACATACAGTAGTGTTCTCTCGCCACCCCCACCCTGGTAACTTAAAGAGGAGTTCCAGGCTCCCCCACAAAAAATTAAAAGTCAGCAGCAGCAAATACTGTAGCTGCTGACTTTTAATATAAAGACACCTGTTCAGGGGTCCAGCGCCATTGTCACCCAGGCTAGTTCTTCACTAGCCTCCGGGTTCCCGATGCCGGCATTGCAAGTAAGGGAAACCAGAAATGAAGCCTCGTGGCTTCACAGTCAGTTTCCTACTGCGCATGTGAGAGGCGCAGTGCACCTTGTGATTAGTCCCGTAGTCTTCTGGGACCTGTTAAGTGTCCCAGAAGACTGCGGGGAGGAAGGGACAGGGGTGTATTTACCACAAGGCAAACAAGGCATTTGCCTAGGGCAGCATTTTTTAGGGGGGCAGCATTGTCCCCCCAGAAGAAGGGACATATGCGGCATAGGGACCAGGTTGGATCTGAGAGGGGCTGCTTGATTGTGTATGCAGAGCCTGACTGTCATTCCTGGGGTGTCCAGAGCTGTGGGGGTTAGTGGAAGGCTTTCTCGAGTGGGGATGGGGCAGGGGTTTTGTTGGTCACTGTCAGGTTGGGCATGGGGGGGGGGGGGGGGGGGTCTGGTGTTGGTTGGTGTCAGGCTCTCTCCACCAGGGAGGGGGACATCCAATTTCTGTGTAGCCTAGGGCAGCACAAAACCTAAATACACCACTGGGAAGGGGGGGGGTCGACTTTCCGGCTCAGTTCACCACAGCGAACTGGGCTTAAGTGGGAGCAGGCACCGGTCAAAACCAGGTACCCGCTCCCCCCAAAAAAGTGTCAAATGTGGCAGGGGAATGGGGGTTGTGTAAACAAACAGAGCTTCCCCTTTTGGGTTGAACTTTGTTTTAAAAAAAGATCTATCATTAGCATATTTATTTTACATTTCTGTCCCCTATGGGACACTGTACACATCGTACTAAGTGCTTTGTAACCCCAATTATGAGTTTCGAGCTGCATCCCCATCTGCCCTTGTGGATCCGAGAACAACTACGGCATGAAGAAGATGGCTGATTCATAGCTACAGTATGTCTCAGCTATGATCAATTTCCTGAGACAAGCAATGGCAAGAGGAATGTGGGGAGCACCGGGGGCACCTCAGCCTCTGCATTCCTCCTGCCGTTGCCTGTCTCCTGAAACTGTAAAATAAAAACAGTGATAGATTGTCTGTAACCACTTGCCCCCCGGAGGATTTACCCCCCTTCCTGACCAGGCCATTTTTTGCGTTACGGCGCTGTGTTAATTTAACTGACAATTGCGTGGTCATGCAACGCTGTACATAAATGAACTTTATGTCCTTTTTTTTTCCCCACGAATTGAGCTTTCTTTCAGTGGTGTTTGATTGCCTGTGCATTTTTAATTTTGTTTGCTATAAAAAAAAAGACTGCCAATTTTGAAAAAAAACTATATTTTTGACTTTTTGCTATTAAACATTGCCAGTTAAAAAATAAAAAATAAAATTTTGTCATAAATATAGGCCAAAATGTATTCTGCGACATGTGAATGAATTGGTTTACGTGAAAGTTATAGCGTTTACAAATGGCGGTATATATACTGGGATTTAAAAAAAAAATTCTACTAGTAATGGCAGCGATCAGCGACTTATAGCGGGATTGTGGCAGGCATTCTGACACTGGGGAGGAACTGACTTGGTGTCACTGGCATCCCCAGTGACACCAATGAGTGATCAGTGCTATAAAAAAAAAGCACTGACACTGTACTAATGGCACTGGGCAGGAAGGGGTTAACATGAGGGGCAATCAAAGGGTTAACTGTGTGCTGGGAGTGTTTTACTATAAGCTGTGTCTGTGTGCTTCACTGACAGGAAGAACTGTTTTGTTTACAAACAGTTCTCCTCCCCGTTGGAGATCCTCGGCAATCACCGATGCCAGCGAGTAATCATGTGGCTGAAAATCACCCGGTGATTGACAGCCACAGCCGCGAATGGCAATGTGGGTAGGGCACGCATCCCCTACCCGAAAATGCGAAATCACGTATATATACACGTGATTTTTCACATCTGTGCCACCCTGTAGCAGTATTTCTGTTATAGGGCGGCTGGGAAGCGGTTAACAGTGAAAGAGCAGCCACAGACCGATGAAGTTATCTCTCTGCTCACTCTGCTTTCTTCTCCTATCAGCATTATCTTTATAAGCTTTATCAAAATATTTGCAAGCAGCACACCTGGTAGGCTTCCAACCCTGCTTCCCTCTCCCATTCTGAGTGCTGCTGTAGAGGAGCAGCATTTATTTGTGTCTTTTATATCTGCCCAGAGTTCCACATTTAAGAGGCATACCATTGGTAAGCACAGATCTTCCCTTCAGGGAGGGAATACATTTCATGTAAATGGATAAAAAGAAAAGGGAATGCGCAGTTAAAGGATATAATGGACGGGGGGCAATATTCACCCTTTTCAGAAGTTGAATAATGTAAAAAAAAACACCACACACATCTGAAAGGCAATCTTATTTTTCTCCAATCTGTCCAAGACTAGATTATTTATTTCAGGTACTTGTATAACGCCATCAATTTACGCAGTGCTTTACATATATATTGTACATTAACACCAGTCCCTAACCCTCAAGGGGCGTACAATCTAAGGTCCCTAACTCACATTCATACTAGGGCCAATTTAGACAGGATCCAATTCGCCTACCAGCATGTCTTTGGAGTGTGGGAGGAAACCGGAGTACCCAGAGGAAACCCACGCAGGCACAGGGAGAACATGCAAACTCCAGGCAGGAGGTGCCGTGGCTTGGATTCAAACCAATGACCCCTAGTACTGCCAGGCAGGTGGAAGTGCTAACCATTTAGCCACTGTGCTGCCCACTAGATAAAATGCTTTGGCTAGAGTAGGGCTTTAGGAATGTTACTATGTCTAAACATTTTTGTTTATATATATATATATATATATATATATATATATACTTTTTATTTTGAAACTTCTAAATAAAAAGTTAAAAGTGCCATTCTAAATATGTGTTTTTTGAATTGTGACATGCATGGTTGTGATTCCAGGGAACTGCCACTGTGACAGCCTCAGGGACTGTCACCAAGGCACCGCCCCCAGTGACTGTCACAACTCACATGAAGCACAGGGCAGGCAAGATCACTCTTGTTCCAGCACTGCCATGGGGACATTACTGAAATTAACCCTTCTTGGGGTCGTCCTGGGATTCCTGGGGGAACGAATTTACCAGTTCTGGTGAGTCACGTTCTTTCTCTCTGTATTGTGGAAGAGAATGCTTTTTTTTTCCAATAAGAAATAAAACATTGTGTGACTTTTTTAGACCTTTGTTCCATATAGATAATCATATAGCCATTGTGTTGTATAGTATGCACCTGATCCCTGCTTAGGCAACCTATAGCCTTTCACATACAAAACTTAACAGCCGGAGTCATACCTTTCTGTAGTAAATGTTCCTTCATTTATCAGCACATTTCCAGACCCTGATCCTGACCTAATTATTATTATTATTATTATTATACAGTATTTATATAGCGCCAGAAGGTTTTCTCAGCGCTGTACATTATATGACATTTTACTTTTTTTTTTGCAATATTGTGTCACATCGTGGCTGTAGTAAACTTTTTTTTAGCCTGTGTCATGGAATTTCATAGTTATATAATAATAATAAATACAATATTAACCCCTTGCCTACAGGGCACTTATACTCCCTTCCTGCCCAGGCCAACTTTCAGCGCTGTCACATTTTGAATGGCAATTGCGTGGTCATGCAACATTGTACCCATATGAAATTTTTATAATTTTTCCCCACAAATAGAGCATTCTTTTGGTGGTGTTTACTCGCCACTGGGTGTTTTATTTTTTGCACTATAAACAAAAGAAAGAGCAAAAAAAAAAAGTTTTTCTTTGTTTCCATTATAAAATTTTGCAAACAGGTCATTTTTCTGCTTCACTGATGTGCGTTGATGAGGCGGCACTGATAGGCAGCACTGATGGGCACTGATAGGCGGCAATGATGAGGTGGCATGGAGAGGAAGCACTGATGGGCACTGATAGGCGGCAATGATGAGGTGGCATGGAGAGGTAGCACTGATGGGCAATGATAGGCGGCACTGATGATGGGCATTGATAGGCGGTACTGCTGGGCAGCACTGATGGGTGGCACTGACTGATGGCACTGACTGGCGGCACTGTTGGGCACTGATGGGCACAGGTTAGTGGCACTGATGGGCACTTGTGGGCGGCACTGCTGGGTACAGGTGGGTGGCACTGCTGGGCATTGATCATCAGTGCCCTGATGATCGGTGCCAATCCCTCCTCTGACAATTGCTGGTTATCTGCAGTACTTTCCTCACACTGTGACAGCCGATAACAGGCAACTGCATTTCCCGGTGATCTGCTGTGTCACGGCTAATCACTTGGTAAAAGGCCACTGTGATTGGCCTTTTACCACATCATGAGATCAGCTGTGTCCATAGGACACAGCGATCACGCAGATCACCGGGTGTGCACCCCTGGGGGTGCGCGGGAGGGCATGTTCTGGGAGGACATCATATGAAGCCTTCCCAGAACTGGCCGGCCGCAGTGAAGCCATCATTAGGCTATCTCCGGTAGGCAAGTGGTCAAAACTAAATTTCTCCAATTGCTGTATCTGCACGCACAGGGTGGGCAACCATGGACAGCCTAAACAAAATGGAATTAGATCAAAGATCACTAGGGTACAGATTGCTTTTTTTAAGGAGATGACCTATCAAGCCCCATTAAGGCTCCATGCACACTAACTTTTTTAATGCTAAAAATGCTGGATAAAAAAAGCTGTTAATTGCGTTTTTGAGTATTGTTTTAGCAGCGGTTAGCATTTTTACAGTACATGTAGGAAAGAAAAAAGAAAAAGCTAGAAAAAAAGCGTTTTAGCAGAATTTAGTAGCATTTAGAAGTGTTTAGCATTTTTTCTGCTGGAAAATAAGCTTTAAAAAACTGTACAAAAGCAACCTTTTTCTCTGCTCCTAGAAGCTGAAGCTCAGAAACCTCTAATAGGTTTGATTAGTTCAGGGATCAGTAGTAAACAATGCAAGTTCAGAGGTCAATAGTGTGTAATGCAGAGTTCAGAGGTTAGTAGTATGGACATAGAGTGCAAGAGTCAGGAGTAACACTGAGTCTAGAGATCAGCAGTATGTAATGCAATGGGGTCATGAGTAAGTGACTCAGAGGTCAGTAGTAACACAGACTGTAGAGGTCATTAGTACTGAACACAGACAGTAGAGGTCAGTAGTAAGTAATACAGAGTGCAGAGGTCAGTGGTATGTAATACTGAGTGCAGAAATTATTAGTATTAACAAACAGCTCAAAGGTTTGTTGTATCCAACACAGTGTGTAGGGATCAGGTGTGAGTAATGTAGAGAGCAGACGTCAGTAGTATGTAATCCAGAACGTAGCGGTCAGGAATAAGTAACTCAGAGTTCAGAGGTCAGTAGTAAGTAATACAGAATGTAGAGGTCATTAGCATTTAATGCAGAGTTTAAAGGTCAGTAGAAAGTAATGCAGATTGCAGAGGTCAGTAGTATGTAATCCAGAATGTAGAGGTCAGGAATAAGTAATTCAGAGTTCAGTAGTCAGTAACACAGAGTGTAGAGGTCATTAGTATTTAATGCAGAGTTTGGAGGTCAGTAGTAAGTAGTGCAGAGGTCAGTAGTACGCAACACAGAATTATTTGCGTGTAAAACAGAGTTCAAAGGTTTGTGGTATGTAATGCAGAGTGTAGTGGTCAGAAGTAACTCAGAGTTCAGAGGTCAGTAGTAAGTAATACAGAATGTAGAGGTCATTAGCATTTATTGCAGAGTTTAAAGGTCAGTAGAAAGTAATGCAGGTTGCAGAGGTCAGTAGTATGTAATCCAGAATGTAGAGGTCAGGAATAGGTAATTCAGAGTTCAGTAGTCAGTAACACAGAGTGTAGAGGTCATTAGCATTTAATGCAGAGTTTAAAGGTCAGTAGAAAGTAATGCAGGTTGCAGAGGTCAGTAGCATATAGCATAGAGCTCAAATATTATTGTGTAACACAGAGTTCAGAGGTACAGTAAATAATGCAGAGTGCAGGAAATAGTAGTAAGTAATGTAGGGTGCAGAGGTCAGAAGTATGTAAAGCAAAGGACAGGAAAAAGTAATGCAATGTGCAAGGGGTCTGCAGTAAGTATTGTGTGGGTCAGTAATACGTATGTAACGTAGAGTGCAGGGGGTGGCAGCAAGTGACAGAGTGCAGGAGTTAGTAGTAAATACTACAGAGGTCAGTAGTAAGTAACACAGAGTGCAGGGGTCAGTAATAAGTATCGCAGATGGTAGGGGTGAGTAGTATGTACATAACACAGAGTGCAAGGGTCAGCAGAAAGTAACACTGTTTGCAGAGATCAGTTGTAATACTGTAGTAAGTAACACAAACTGAAGAGGTCAATAGTAAGTAACACAGAGCTCAGTAGTAACGCAGAGGGCAGGGGTCAGTAGTAAGCAACACAGAGATTCAGAGTTTTATCATAGCAAAAATTCCCCCATCCCTCTTTAAAAATATACTCACCAGACCTCAGATGAAGCGGCTTGAAGTGAGGGTAGTCTTCCTCCCAGGTGTCAGCTGAGGAGGGGCCCAGAACTTCCCTTAGCTCTGCTTTCACATTATTACTATGATCTGAGGTTTGAAAGACAGTGGGCAAGGTCAGGAGCTGGTGGCATGGTGGGGTATTTATCAGCCCATCACATAACCACAATTGACATTTCGATTGACTGATTGCTGACCCCTGTGTAAACATATAGAGCAAAAAAAAAAGTCCTATTAAGTTACTTAGTACCCCTAGTAATAGTAAATACAACCATTCGACCTATTTATCTTCACTCACCCGCCAGATTTGCCTTACTCGTGCCAAGAAAATCTCCCCCACACCATTACACCACCAGCCTGACCCGGTTTATGCCAAATTCTGACCCTAGCTCTGACATCAATAAGGCACTTTCCTCCACACAACTGTCACTCACTGAATATTTGCTCTTTTTTGGACCATTCTCTGTAAACCCTACAGATGGTTGTGCGTGAAAATCCCAGTATATCAGCAGTTTTTGATATACTCAGACCAGCCCATCTGGCACCATCAACCATGCCACGTTCAAAGTCACTTAAATCTTCCCCATTCTGATGCTTGGTTTGAACTTCAGCAAGTCTTCTTCACCACGTCTAGATGCCTAAATGCTTTTAATTGCTGCCATGTGATTGGCCGATTAGCTGTTTGTGTTATCAAACAATTGAACAGGTGTACCTAATAAAGTGGCCGGTGAGTGTACATATATAGTAGAGTTAATAAAAAAGCAAGCTGATTTGCTATCAATACCGTATATCGTCATGCAATCTACATCGTATTCATATAATAATGCATCTATATATTCCACACTTCTAATTTTTTAAAAGAATGGGTGCATCCTATAACTCTGCACGTTTCGTTAATATAGTTTCAGTTCTTCAGGAGTAGATGCCCAATGTAAAATCTGTAGACCAAAAAACTATTTCACAAAGCATGTTCAAGCACTTCCTAAAAAAAAAAAAAAAGGGTGGGGGTGCAATATTTATGCATATTCATATCCTTAATAAAACAATACTCACAGATCAGCTTAGTAATTAATCTTTGATAACCACCTCCAAAGGGCAACCGCCACCAGGTGTTTGGTCTGGGAGTTGTGGAAAGAAAACATAGCACCTCGATGGGAAAACTAAGGAGCAGTACCTAAAAAGACATAGATGGAATCAGAAGACCTAAATTCCCACCAGAACAAATAATCAGACCAATGAGACAGAACATAGATAATGAAAGCAGAATAGCCCGTGTACACAAACTGCAAACCACAGATAAAGTGGGAAGAAGTACCACATTGTTATGCTATCAGTGAAGATATTGCCCATATACATAAATGAATGGAGGATCTCCACTATAATATTATTGTACCCACTAGAAACCAGAGACCCAAAGGGAGAAAGAATAGAAAGCACGTGATACAGCGCCAGTGAGCCATAGATAGTGCAGTAGTAATATTGCAACACCATTAGACACCATATGTATGCTACCACAGATAAATAAGTTTCTAAGGTCAAAATGCCACCAGAATTCAATATTCACCAAGTGCTAATGTGTGTGGGTTGGGAATCTCTACTAAGAAGAAGCTCGGTCCTAAAAGAAGCAGAACCCTCCACCTGCACCCTCAATTTA